AGGATACCATATTAAAATTAGTGATCTTTTCTTCTTAGTTGCCTCTGGTCCGTGACAGTTTCTCAGTCTTTCCTTGTTTTTGATGGCCTTGACAGTTTTGAGAAGTACTGGTCAGGTATTTTGTAGCATTTCATTTTGGGTTTGTCTGATATTTTCCTCATGGTTAGACTGGGATTATGGATTTGGGGGAAGAATATCATAGTGTTTATGTGTCATCTCATCAGATCACATCAGTGGTACATCATGTCAACAATGGCTTATGATTGATGATATTAACCTTGATCGCCAGGCTAGGGTGGTGTTTGTCTGGTTTCTCCACTTAGTAAACCACTAAGCACTGTCCACACTCCTGCGTGGGGGTGGGCTGGGGTTAAGATCCACCTCCTGGAGGAGGGAATATCTATGTAAAGTATCTGGAATTCTTCTATAAGTAAAATTTGTCTCTCTCCCCCTGTTAATTTTTGCATTCAGTCATTTGTCTGCATCAGTATGGACCTATGGACACTTGCTTTATACTTTAGGTTATAATCCAATACTACATTATTTAATTAGGCCATTGGGAGCTGTTTTGGGTTGTTTTTTTTTGCCATACTTCATCCTTTTATTTTCCTTACTTTCTGGCACAACAAGAAGGTCTAAGCTCAGTTTGTATACTCCTAGCCCAGCCCCTGAATCGGCAGTGTCTCCAAGGAGCCCTCGTTGCTCCTGTTGGAGAAGGGTGTTAGAAACCGGCATCTGGGTCTGGGAGCATAGCTCCTGTTTTAGTAGTTAATGCCTACAGTTCTAAAGTGGTTTTACCCATTTACACTTCAACTCTTTACTTGTCAGATTTCCTGTAAACATTTGCTGGTTTTGGCTTCCCTTTTGTGTTTGAATTCTTCTGGACAGGAAGTTTTAATTTCAACATAGTTAACAATGTATCTTCTAACATTCATACTGTTCTTGATCATTTCCTTTATTGTGCCAAAGCTTTTAAGTTCCTCCTCTGGTAAGGTGTGATGAATATGTTCTGCTTTTTCACCCCTCTGGTTTGAAGTATTAACAATTTGCTAATTTGTTATATCTGAAATTTATTCTGTGAGGATCCTAATTTTTGTCTGAAGGTTTACCAGTTGTCCTAATAATCTACACTGAATGTTTCTCTTCCCAATTATGACATTTTTTCTATCATACATTAAAATCTCATGGGAGTGCCTTTTCCTGAGCTATCTACTCTTGTTTCTTTGATTTGTTACAGTTATATCATCGAGAAAGGGTGATGAGTTGTATACACAGAAGGCTTTGGAATTGGTTTCAACCGGGGCAGTTTGCTGCCCAGGGGACATGTGACATTTTGTTTGTCACAACTGTGGGAGATTGAGGGTTCTAATGGCATGTACTGGATAGAGGCCAGGAATGCTGCTAAACATCATATAGTGTACTTACAGTGTCCCCCAAATAAAGAATTACCTGGAAAAAAAAAGTAGTGGTGAGGTTGACAAACTGCTATAGGAGATCCCATTTGGTGCAAGAAAGGAAACCAGGCAGGGATGTATGAAAAGGGGAGAATAGCCTGTTTCCTAGATAAAATGTAACTTCTTCAAGACCTCGTCATCTCTACCCTCTTTGGAAAAGAACCCCTCCTTCCTTCGTGTTCTCCTGGAACTAGAAGATTGCCATTCTCTTTCCCTAGCACAAGGGCAGCTATCAGAGCATAGCCACACCGATTTCCTATCACTCTGAATTCCCAGTGCCTGGGAAGATCAAGTGAAATGAAAAGGTAGGTGGCACCTGGTAGAAAGAAAATGAACTGCAGTCTGATAAGCTACTTGTCAACTCCGTAACCTGGGCAAGCTTCTTAATTTCTGAGGCCCAGTGTCTATAAAATTGTAGTTAAAACCAAACTTTTGGGACTAGAGAAAATTCTCATAAAGAACCTAACACAGTAGATCCTCAACAAATGTGATTATTAAAACAGCTGGTATCTCACTAATTACTGTAGGATAAAATCCTGATTTACTATGTAATTTTGAGATAATTCACTTTTTGTTTAAGAAGTAAAATCTCCTTTCTGAACATTTTAATATTATTATTGAGGTATAGTCAGTTTGCAGTGTGTCCATTTCTGGTGAATAGTATGTTTCAGTCATATATGTATATATAAATTTGTTCCTTTTCATATTCTTCCTCATTATAGGTTACTACAATGTATTGAATATAGTTGCCTCCCTTCTGTACATTTTAATTTCTCCCTTCCATCTTCTCCAATCCCATTGGCAAGAGTAGGGGATGGCGTTTTGAAAGACTGGAAAGGAGAGGGGGCTTAGAGAAAGATCTAGGTCGAGTTCCAGCTGTACCACTTACTAGCCCTGTCTCTTTAGGCAAATCACCGAAGAAGGGGTGAGTAACTTGAAGATACAATTTAAATTATGAACTGGAGTGCCCGTGCTAAATAAGAAATTCAATAAAGCTTTTAAGACAGGTGATAAATAAGAGGAAAACACAGGGCTCAAAGGACTAGGATTTGATAACATTTGAAGAACTGTCACCATGGGAGTGAGGACATGAAACTGCTCAATTAACTGGAAGGTATTAATTTAAGAGTTTAATTAATTTAAGGGACTTGGCAGTTTAACAGTTCGGGTGGTCCTTGCTGATAAATTCTGAGCGAGAACATCAGAGTGAAATGCTGGAGTGGAACAAGGTCATGGGAGTTGAGGTCAGGGATGGGAGAGAATGCTGTCTGGGATGGGTTTTAACTTTGCACTCACCCAGAATAATTGTGGTGTTGGGGAACAGATGTGAAAGGAGCTTGTGAACTAGGAACACAGACCTTTAGGGACTTGGTATGGATTTGTGACCAGAGATGACATGACAAGAAGACATAAAAGGTGACATATGCCAATTGCATGTGCTTCAAGAGTAATGATGGGGGCACAATAACATTTTATGGGCTGAGGTATATGTTGGGTGTTGGTGGGGGAGAGAGGGAATGAGGAAACTTGCCTGTACTTAGGAGGAGTCTGTTCTGAGCCAGGCGACACGTGAACTCTACCTCATTTAATCCGTACTGCAGTCCTCTGAGATTGGTTCTGATATCCTCGCTTAGCAGAAGAGTAATGAAAGATGAATTGCCGTTTTTTCTTTCTTACAGCTCGTAAGTATGGGACTGGGAGTAACTCTTGGGAAGGTGGAAGAAAGGAGAAGTGGTTTGTATCAGAGGAATATTTTTGTGATAGAACATGTATTACAGCGGACACTAGGTCAATCCTGAACCCTTATATAGTGGACTTCAATACACGTTTGTTGAATTAATCTAGATTTTTAGAGGTATTTCATTTTCTAATCTTACTTTTCCATAGGTCCCGTTTATTCCATCTTTTGATTATTTTTCCACACTGAAGCTTGAATATTGATTCATGGACAAGATGACAGATGTGTCTTCTTCCTCCTACTTTTCTGATTTTGGGCTGCTCCTATATTTGGAGGAGCTAAACAAAGAGGAATTAAATATATTCAAGTCATTCCTGAAGAACGAGACCGTGAGACCTGGGTCCCGCAGGATACCCTGGTCTGACGTGAAGAAGGCCAAGCGGGAGGATCTGGCTAACTTGATGAACCAGTATTACCCGGGAGGGCAGGCCTGGGATGTGGCTCTCAAAATCTTTGGCAAGATGAACCTGAAGGGCCTGTGCCAGAGAGCAAAAGCAGAGATCAGCTGTGAGTGATGCTGGAGACACATCCCGGGGTGGGGAGAAGGAAGTGCTTCCTGGAGCCCATTGATTCTATGAAAGGGACATGGGTGTTAAACTATTCTGTGGATACACACTCCATGATGCTCAAGTACAGTGGGAGCTTGTTGGGTCATTTGAGGAACACCAAAGAGGCCATAGGGTTTTGAGTACTGTTACTCAGCCTGGCTCCTTCACTGGAAGAGATCCATCCATCTTGTACCAGTTAGAATGATTAAAGGAATGGAGTGATAAGAATTGTCCCATCTAATGTTCCTTGGCCTAAACTACAAATAAAGTGACAGGTTAGGCTAAATTTTAAGGACTCACAAATATGATTTTAAATCTTTGCTGAAGGATAAGAAGTGGGCAAAAAATTATTAAGGGATGTAAGCCAAAATGATAATTTTAGTCATTCCCAGCTGTGAAATCCTGTAGTCATCTAAATTTCTTACTCATATACAAGGCTTTATAGCTGCAAAATGTGTATGCATTGATATTGTGTATCTTCTGAGCCTCACCTTCTCTCTGTGAGGTCAGTATAGATGAGGAAGCTTAGGCTTAGACGAGACCACTTGCCTTAGAGTTACAGGATGGGAGGCATGGCAGGAGGTGTCCTGCTTCAGTGCTGTTCACACCACTTCACATCTCCCTCAGCTAAGCTGGTCCAGTCTGAGGCTCTGTTGGCTCTAGTTTTCTTAAACCCAAATGATCAGAGAATTGGACCACTGAGGAAAATTGTGTTCTGGTCATCACCAATTCTCCTTATTTTTGGTAAATCTCATGATCCTTTTGGAATCTGTTGCAGGGATAGCCAAGACGGTGAGACCAGAGGACACCGGGGCCAGAGAGGTACAAGGTCATCAAGAAGCTGTGCTGGGTAAGTTTGAGTCAGCTTTGGGAGGTTGGAGCTTCTGAAGCATGATGGAGGAGGGCTATCTCCCAGGGGACCTTTGTGCAACACTTGTTGACTTCTGGTAATATCCTACCTGTTCAGTGGTTATCTTTGAAAAAGCCATAAAAAAAGAATAACACAATGCCATTTGCAGCAACAGGGATGGACCTGGAGACCATCATTCTAAGTGAAGTAAGCCAGAAAAAGAAAGAATAATACCATGTGACATCACTTATATGTGGAATCTTTTTTAAAAAATGAGACAAATGAACTTATTTATAAAACAGAAACAGACTCACAGACATAGAAAACAAACTTGTGGTTACCAGAGCGGGAGAAAGGGGGTGGAGGGATAAATTGGGAGTTTGGGATTTGCAGATACTAAGTACTATATATAAAATAGGTAGACAACAAGGTCCTACTGTATAGCACAGGGAACTATATTCACTTCCTTGTAATAGCCTATAATGAAAGAGAATATGAAAAGGAATATATATAGTATAACTGAGTCACTGTGCCATACACCAGAAATTAACACAACATGGTAAACTGACTATACTTCAATTAAAAAAAAATGAGTTGGCAAAACTGGCTCTCTGGACAAAGTCAGAAACAGGGCTCTGTTAATTCAGAGCCTCAAGAGAGCTGTATTTGGAAATGGCCAGTCAAAAGTTGACAGTCTGAAGAGCAAAGGTATGTTGATCTTGTTTTATGGACTGAAGAGTCCCTGAGTTGGTGGGGACTGTTTGGCTTATTGAATCTCTTTACTTCCATTAGAAATGATACTGTAATTGAGTTCTGGGGTAGTGACCAGCTAGTCTATGTAAAATGTAGTTTCTAGGTCTTCTCAGTCTTAGTTCAGTACCATTTCCATTCCCCCTACTTTGTTTTGAATTCTGTACAACTGAATTCCAGTTTATATAAATGGAATTACATTACAAAGAAAACTCAACCAAGTGAGAAACCTTCATTCTTAACTCAGCTATGCTGCATTCTAACGGGCCACCTAATTTCATTCAAGAAATAATTGAGAACCTGCTTCATTCCGAGCACTAGTAAATAGAACTTTCTTATTGTATTAAATGATTTTGAAGATAACTTCCTGCTTGGACTTTAATTTCTGATACAATATAAGCAAGTTTATTTTTGTGGCGTAACTGGCCGTAAATTTAGGAAACCAAGGTTCCACCGCCATAGAAATTTACTCTGGAAAATTCGGTAGATAAATGTATAATGAAGAAACTAAAAATCATCCTTATAATCTCAATTTTTAAAAATACAGCACTTTACTAGGTATTATACCATTCAAAGACAGAGTCCCTGCCTTCTAATACCATCCCTTCCATTGGGGGAGAACAAAGCATAATTTAGTGGGAAATGAGCTATGTTAGATGTTTGTACTGAATGCCTCAGAGCAGGTGAGACTTGGTGTGTACCCTTTAAGAGCAGTCTGTTTCCCACAGCCCCCCAGCTCACCTGAAAGTGAGCCCTGCTGCCTTCAAAGCCAAATGTTCTGGGGGCTCAGCCCATCTTCCCAGGGCAGGACCCCAGGACGGGGAAGCTTGATGTGGGACTCAGCCCTCTCGCTCCTCAGGGAGGATCCTGTAACTGTTCATTTCCGTTAATGTTTTATCTGTATAAAGTGGATTCTTTTGATCTGTAGATTAAGGTCCTCTCTGGCAATTACTGTTAATTGTTGCCTAGGTCCTCTTTTTATCTGGATGATGGCTCTGTTCCCCACACATGCCATCCTTTTTCTCTGTAGAGTAGAAGTACAAAGAAGATAAAAAATATTTCTAGAACGAACCTAATTTTTATTTTTCCACCCTAAATGTCTGCATTATCAGTTCTATTTTTACACAGTTTCTAATGTAGGTTTTAAATCTGCAGGAATGTTTTTGTTTTATTTCCATTCTTTTCTCATGTAAACTGCTGTAGGTTGATTTCAGCCTGTATCTTGTTCCTGCTCTAAGTCCTCCAGTATTCTTAACATTGCAAACCATAGAGTTTATTTTAATCTTGTGTATCTCCCCCCCCATCTCCTTTCTAACTGACTTAGGTGATGGAACAAAATACAGAATTCAAATAGAGGAAAAATTTCGCTTCATGTCGAATAAGAACTGTTTGCTTGCAGAATCTGGAAATTTCTGTCATGAAATCACTCAGGAGAGCCGAGAACTGTTGGAACGTTTGTTTGGTGAGGATGTCAGAACCGGCGTGCAGCCGCAGACAGTGGTCCTTCAGGGGCCTGCTGGAGTCGGGAAGACAACCTTGGTGAGAAAGATGATGTTAGATTGGGCACAGGGCAATCTCTACCAGCAGAAATTTACCTATGTTTTTTATCTCAATGCAAGAGAAATTAACCCATTGAGAGAGAAAAGCTTTGCTGAAATGCTGTCAGATGACTGGCCCAGCACAGAAGGGCCCATCGAGAGAATTATGTCCCAGCCGAGTGGTCTCCTTTTTATTATTGATAGTTTTGATGAACTACACTTCGCCTTTGAGGAACCCGAGTTTGTGCTGTGTGGCGACTGGACCCAGGTACACCCTGTGTCCTTCCTCGTGAGTAGTTTGCTGAGAAAAGTGATGCTCCCTCAGTCGTCCTTATTGGTGACGACAAAACTCACAGCTTTTAAGAAACTAAAGCCTTTATTGAAGAGTCCGCGTTCTATACAGCTACTAGGTATGTCTGAGAATGCAAGAGAGGAGTATATTTGCCAGTTTTTTGAAGATGAGAGGTGGGCCCTGCAAGTGTCCAGTTGCCTAAGAAACAATGAGATGCTTTTCAGCATGTGCAAAGTCCCCCTGGTGTGCTGGGTCATTTGTAATTGTCTGGAGCAGCAGATGGAGAAGGGTGGTGATATCACGTTGACCTGCAGGACAACCACAGCTCTGTTTACCTGCTGTATCTCTAGCTTGTTCACACGTGTAGATGGACGCTTTCCTAGTCTACCCAGCGAAACCCAGCTGAGGAGCCTGTGTCACTTGGCTGCCAGGGGAGTATGGACTATGACTTATGTGTTTTACAAGGAGAATCTCAGAAAGCATGGGTTAGTTAAATCTGATGTCTCAGTTTTCCTGGACATGAATATTCTTCAAAGGGATGCAGAGTATGAAAACTGCTATATGTTCCCCCACCTCCACATTCAGGAGTTTTTTGCAGCTATGTTTTATATGTTGCAAGACAGTTGGGACACCGGGGACAATTCCTTCCAGTCTTTTGAAGACCCAGAGCTGTTACTTGAAAGCAGCAGTTGTAATGACCCCCACTTGCTGCAGATGAAATGCTTTCTGTTTGGCCTTTTGAATGAAGATCTAGTAAAACAACTGGAGGAAACTTTCAACTGTAAAATGTCCTTGGAGATGAAATGGAAGACACTACAGTGGATGGAAACACTAGGAAACAGTGACCCTTTTCCATCACACCTGGTTTTTCTGGACTTGTTTCACATTCTATATGAAACTCAAGATGAAGCCTTTATAAACCAGGCAATGAGATACTTCCCAAAGGTTGTCATTAATATTTGTGAGGAAATCCATTTGCTCGTGTCTTCATTCTGCCTGAAGCATTGCCAGTACTTACGGACCATTAAACTGTCTGTAACTGTGGTATTTGAGAAGAAGGAGTTAAACTCCAGCCCCCAAGCTGAAACTTGGTAAGTGTGTCAGGTCAGTTCCCTGGAAGTGCCCTGCGAGGGAGTGAAGGGAATAGATTTTGTCCGAGGGCAGGGAGGAGTTGTTCGAGGTCCCAGAGCCAGGATAACCTTTCACAGTTGTCCCACCCTGATGCAAGGAGGCCAGGCACTGAAACCCCTTATTGACCAGGCACGGCTCCTGGTGAGGAATGGGCGGAAGCTCTCTTGGCCTGGGGGCTATCCCAAGGGAGGGAGGGGGCTGAGAGCGGTCAGCTGTCAACACCCCCAACGACTGGGGAATGAATGCTTCAGTCCTCAAGGCGGGACGCGGCACGGGGCTACCTTCCATCCACTGCAACACAATGTTTAACTTTCTACGATGATGTCCTCCTGAAGAACAGGGACGAGGAATTTCTCGCTGAACCTAGTGTACACGGGTCCTCTCTCTGGGCTGTTTCACTGTACTCGCCTTCCCTGTCACCTAGACAGAGCTTGGGCTTGTATGAAAGGTCTCAGCCGTCTAACAGCTAAATGGAGAGAGTCAGATGTGGGGCAAGAGTTAGTAGGTTTTGAAGTGTTTTGAAAGGATAAATGAAGCTTCAGCATTTTAGGCATATTATTTTACCCTCTGTCTTTCCTCAAGTTGCCCTTTTTGACTCTACCCATCTGAGTCTGGGGGAGGAATTGAACTCATAAGTTCCAGATTTAATTCATTGAGGGTTTACTATGTGGTATACAGTTACATAATACAGGGGCTATTTAGCATGTTACCCAGCTTAACGCTGGTCAAAACCATACTTCAGTTTATTTTTAAGATTATAAAAGTGAGATTCAGAGAAATAAGTGTATAATGATTAATTCAAGCACACACCAAATAATAGCTAACATTTGCTTAACACATACCTGACAGTCTTCTAAGTTCCAGCTCAGTCTCCCAACAATCCTAGGTACATACTGTTATTTCCATTTTACTTATTTAAAAAACCGAGGTACCAAGAAGGTATATAACTTGACGGATGTCACACATCTGATTATAAGTCCTTGGTTTTCCAATTTTGCCCAAGCTCTCATTGCCATTACATACAATTGTATTCGTCTTATAAGAACATGTATTTCATTCTTCTCTGAACTGTGGGAGTAGGAGTTTTAGGCTGGGATGCTATGACCTTTATTGTCCTTGAGGAGTTGTGATTAGTCACCTTCAGTGAATTTTCTTAATTCTGACTTCATAGTTCTATTTACAGAAGATGTGAGTGAACCCAGGACATTGGAATGTATTTTATGCTTAATAATAAGTGTTAGGAAGGCTTTCTGGCCACTGTCTTGCTAGTCTTTGTGTTACCTTTCCCTCACCTGTGTAATCCTAGAGTTGGCATTGTTGTGAAAATAAAAGAGGCTGAGAACTCAGTGTTTTAAAAGGGACATTATAGGTGACCTCAGTCTTTTTCTACAACATAAGTATACTGTAAACGTCATCAGAGCAGGATCTCTGTCTTGTTCACCGTTTTATCTGTAGTATCCGTACATAGTAAGCACTTGAATGTTTGCCTAGTCTTCTCAAATTTAAGACCCCCAGTGATGTAGAGACCACCATTCTGCAGTGTCATTCATTTCACTTTAAGTAAATCATGGGAGAACCAATATGTATTGAGTAGTAGAGAAGATCAGTACATGCCACTTCAAAATATACAGCTTTTACTGAAGAATTATCTTACACTGAAGGCATTTAATTTCCTGAAATCCCTTGTCTGCCTAAAAGCAGTCCTCCCAAAAGAACTCAGTTGTCATAAATCCCCTCCCCAGGGCAGTTCTGATCTTGTCTTCTTGGAGACAGAAGTTGGCACCACACCCTGATAGACATTGTCACCAACGATCATACCTCCCGTCTATTCTCCTGGGGGCCCGTTTGTCTTCCTAAAAAGTCATTTGTTTCTCTATAAGTGCCCTTTCTCCCCATGCCTTTCCCCTAGTAATTTAGGCCTATGGACCCCAAACTCTAACCACTCCTTTGAGTTACTCAGAACTGAGTTTCTCCCATGTGAAGCTGCAGTGCACATGCTAATACAATTTGTACGCTTTTCTCTTACGATGTCTTTTGTCGGTCTCATTTACAGGGTCCCATTCACAGAACCCAGGGGAACAGAGGAGAAAAGATACTTTTCCTCCCCTACAGTAGCTATAATATATAAGGCAGCATGCTAGACTTTTATGTGTTTTAATATAAATAATAGCAGCTCCCAAATTGTTAGGATTTATAACATTTATAACATGAAACATTCGCTAAGCATTCTCTATAGATTGTCTTACTTATTCTTTACAGTAATCCTAAGAAATGCAGACTATTACCTTTAGTTTTTAAGATGAAGATAGGTTAGTAACATGGCCAAAATCACCCAGTTTAGTGAACGGTGAAGCTGGGATTCTGGACTGTCCTATTCTAGAGCTTATGCTTAAAATCACTAGGATATCTTCTATTTTATTCCTTATTACTCTTTATCTGTTTAAATGAACCTGTTGATCATAAGCCTAGTAGTTAAATTGGATACCACTTCAAAATTTACACAGTGCTTTTGTGTACCCACTGAAATTGACTATTAAACCCTTACAACCCAGTGAAGGGAGATGGCATTTGCATTTTGTAGATGAAGAAAATGTGGAGCTCAGAGAACTAGTGGAACTTGCTTAAAGTGACACAGATAGTAAGTGGCAGAACTGGAGCTCACAGTCGGTGCTTCTTAATCTACGCCAGTCTCCTAATGTCTACCCGCTTTTTCTAATCTTACTCCTTGTGCGCATATATTATTTTTCTTCTTGATACTGGCTCTTCAGGTATTTGGAGAGTTCTCTCTTGTCCTTCTTGAATCTCTTCTTTTAATGTGAATTCACCCTAGTTTTTAATTCTGTGTGTGTTGCAGGGATGGCGGGGCAGTCTATTGGGCCAATAAAATCCCTGGAGTGCCAAGAGGAAGACTTCCTGGGGACGGTGCTCAAGCCAGAGCTGCACTGGGTGGTCTCACCACTTCCAAATACACTTACTTTCACCCCATACCATCTTCAGAGAGCTGCCTAGGCTGAAATAGATTTGTTGGTCTCTTTTTCCAATCATTTAGGCAAAGGGATGGTGGTCGCATTACTCGTTGGTGGCAAGATCTCTGTTCTGTGCTTCATACAAATGAACATTTGAGAGAACTGGACCTGTGTCATAGCAACCTTGATAAATTAGCAATGAAGACTTTTAATCAAGAACTAAGGCACCCAGACTGTAAACTACGAAAACTACTGTAAGTCTGGCATGAGAAAACATAATGGAGCCATTGTATTTTCTTTCTTTATCCCACCTCCCAGTCCTATTAAAGGGAACCAACAGTAAACAGATAATTAAAGTCTACTGTGTAAAATACTCTAAGAACATGAATTGTGGAAAGCTCTGGGGACGGGGGAGCATAGCTAACTTGTTCTGGGAAATATTACACAGAACATAGTAGCAGTTGACCTGGGTCTTTGAGGCTTCGTTAGGAATTTTCTACATGGAGAGGAGCACAGAGCTAAGGCATTCTAGGGAAGTCAACAAGGCATTGTCTAAACAAATTCTGGAATATATCATTTTTTTCCATTCAATACAGTGCACAGATATGAAGTGTCCAGTTCATTGAGTTTTGACAGTTGCATACACCTGTGTAACCAATACCCCAAACAAGCAAGAAAGTAATTACATCTACTCGTGAAGTTTCCCTGTAGTCCTTTCTGTATTCACTCCTCTCACCCTGCCCAGTCCCAAAGGCAACCACTTGCTAACCTCTATCACTTTAGATTAGTTTTGTCTGTTCTTGGAAATCTTTTAAATGGAGTCATACAGTATATATATTTTTCTGTCCATCTGTTTTTGCTCAACAAAATATTTTTAAAAATTTATTCATGTCATTGCTATTTCAATTGTTTCTTTCTTCTCATTCTGATTAGCATTCCATAGTATACTATACTACAGCTTGCTTATTCATTCTCTTGTTAATTGGCCCCTGGGTTGTTTCCAGTTTGGGGTAATTATGAATAAGGCTTCTTTGAATATTCTTGTACAAATCTATTGTGTGTGATAGATGTTTTCATCTCTTGGTCTAATACCTAGGAATGGAATTGTTAGCTCATAGATGTATGTTTAACTGTTTAAGAAATTGCCAACCAGTTCTTCAAAGTGGTTTTACCATTGTATAGTCCCACCAGCAGTATATGACAGTTCCAGCTGCTCCTCATCCTCGCCAACATCTGCTATGTCCTTTTAAAATTTTTTATTATATCTTAATTTGATTCTAGATACCCTACTGCCTTTTTACACTTGGTCATTTACAGGTCTCCCTCTCTTGTCTATTGGCTCTGCTAAGAGCTGGAACTGATCCTGTTCTCTTTTGTGTTCTGTGCTCATCGACGTGCTCAGGGCTCAGCAGTATGTACCAAATGCTGAACAATCGATAAGATACTTGTTTCCATTAGCACTGTTGATTAATGTTATTTTATGGGGAACAGGCTTCCCCCTAAATACTGCCCATAAAATCTCAGTGTTTTTAGTGAGATCTGACCTTAGATTTTAAGTGACTAGATTAGGTCAGGTCTTGCATGTAGGTATGGGAGGCAGTTACACACATGTTACAATGAAGGTGTTCCTGAAGTCCTTTTCACTCACCCCCATTCATCTCCCGCACAGTGTCCCTTCACTGAATGCCCCAACCCAGATCCTAACAGTAGCTAGTGCTTCTTTCGGGTTAAATGGCTTCCTCTTTTAGAATGCAAGGGTCTCTCGGGGGATGGCTCCATGAGGGCAGCTCTCAGTCTTTCCCACCTTAGTCTGGCCTGCCTTACTTAAATCACTCTTCCCTAACAAGTGACACTGTACTTTCAACTTAGGTTTAGTGAGTGCATTGGGAACTTTTACTAGAGATGATGGTGAGCACTCTAAATGGGTAAAAGCTTTATTTTCTTGATGTGCTTGGCTGGATGGAGGGTGAGGGTGAAGGGTGAGTGATCTTCAGAAGTGAGGGGAGGTGAGATCACAAAGGGAAGTTTTTGAAAAGTTAGCAGTAGGAACACACTGGGCATCTGGAGCCAGCAGAGGCACTATAGAAGAATCAGATACAGCTAACGATGACTCAGAGATGGAAAACAGGAAGAAAAATCGGCAGATTTAACTTTCTTCATATTTTGCTTTGGGTTGTCTCTACACCTAACAAAGTCCACAAGATGACAGGGAATATTTTGCAATAATGTATTGTGCTAATGATGCACATCAAATAGTTGATATTAACTGTGAACTCATGTTGGGTTATTTAAAGGATTAATATATGGATTAATGTTGTAATTGCAGTATTAGGAATAGCCTCGATAATTTTCGGTCCTCATTCCTGGGACTAAGAGTTCAAAAACTTCTCTTCTGCTTTTCCTGATGCCACACTTTCTTTGCCTTTAGAGTCAAAAGAAAAAAAAAAAGTTGAGAGTATCAGCTGTCAGGATATAATGGACATTTAAGTTGTAACCCATTTTTTTCCTAAGCAACATCCTGAAGCTTGAATTTACAACCTTGACCTGAAACAGGAGAAACCCAGTGTAAGATAAGAGATGGCAGGAATATTTAGATAGTATCTCAGAGCTGCGCTGGAAAGGAAAGGGATGTTGGAACCAGGGACAGAGATGATTTTGTAATCCCTCTTGTGTGTTTTCCTTCTGAAGGTTGAGATTTATTTCTTTCCCTGATGCTTGTCAGGATATCTCTAGTTCTTTGACTCATAACCAGAACCTGATGCATCTTGACCTGAAAGGAAGCGATATAGGGGATAATGGAGTAAAGTCACTATGTGATGCCTTGAAACACCCGGAGTGTAAACTACAGAACCTGAGGTAAGTCATGAGTTTGTGCATGTGTGTGCGTGTGTTTGAGACTTTTGTCTGCCAAATAGATTCTCACAGCCTGGACTTGCCGTTCACAGGGCTAGCTTAGATCTACTTTCTTGGTTGAAAGAGCAGGGATTTGTAGATTCAGGCTTATTTCCTCCTGATAAGACGTCTAACTCCCCCCGCCCCCCACTAAAGGCCCCTCATTGTATAGTTCTCTGTGTCTCCATCTCCTAAATCTGGGGGGAAAAAAGGGAGAGGAGACCCAGAATTTATAAATTTTTCATATTTAGATGCTGGAACAGCTATAGTCATTATATCTTTGAACTCTCACAGAAAAGGCTGCACGAGCAGTAGCTGAGGGCGGTGCTGAGGCAGGCTCAGTTTTACTTGATTTTTGACACTGCATCTCCCTCACCCATCACTGCAACTCAGTGAGCAGCACAGAAAGTTGAGGAAGAACAGTGTGGCAACTGTCCAGGTGCCTGCTCCCTACCACACACTAGTAATGGGCCTGATTTCCTTTCTCTATGAAAGTGAAAAGATTAGCAATCATGCTTGGTCTCCACATCGTGTGACAGGTTTCGAGAAAAATCTTATTTTCCAATGAAAGACATTTAAATCAGTTTCTGACAAAATAAACCAACCCCAAAAAAGCAAAACAAAAAAAAATCATTATAGTAAGTTTTACCTTAGAAATTTTGGAATCCCTAGATTCAGTTCAGGGGGCACAAGACTGAACCTTGATGCAGGAAGGACCAAAGTAGGTCTGTATTTGTGGGAAGCAAATTATAATGTATGTGTAGAAAAAGATGCCAAGAAAAATCTGAGCCAAGACCTTCTTTTTGACAATAGGCAGATGAATTCTGTTACCATTGGGGAATTTTTTTTTTAAGAGTTTCACTAGTTTTTACAGGATGCAACTCACAGCGTGTCTGGAAAGGTGCTGGGTAATTCTTGACCATGTGTTCAGTTGTCAGCAAGCCAGGTTGGGGTGTGGGTTTTACCAACTATGAAGCAGGTTTAGGACATTTTGAGAGATTTTCTGTAACCTGCAGCCTCTGGTCTGGAACCCCATTGAGAAGTAGGTCATGGGTTCCTCTGTCTAATCATGAACATGTTAGCAGCAAAGATGTGTTAAACAGAGGGAAAGATGTTCTTTTCCAGTGAGAGCCACGGATCCAAGACAGAATGCCGTGGCACTTGTCAGATCGGCAGGACTTGCTATTATCCCTTTCATCAGCTGGGACTTGAACAATGTATTCCAGTGAGGACCCTTCATGTAGACCCAGTTACCAGGCTTTCAGATAGGAAACCATCTCTCCGAGCCAACTAGTAGGGCTCTTGCACCAGTGAATAGAATGTTTTGGTGGCAGAAGTCATGAGAGATTCGTAATAATCTAACATTGAGTTATGTAGGACTAGATGTTTTCCCAGTGTGGGTGGTCACTGGGGCGCAATCAATAATCTCATAAGGTCCAGGTATCTTATAAGATTCCCTTGTTATGATAAAACAATAAAAGAAAGCAAAACTATTTTAAAAAATATTTTCTGACTTGTGATACCATCTCTGCTTTTCTTTGCAGTTGCAAAGGAAAGAGGGAACATTTTCTTTTTATGGGGCTCAGATTTCATTTGTCAGACACTAGGAGGTCCATAGCTGAAATTCTATTAATTGGCACTAAGAAAAGGAGAGAGTTTGAGAAACTCAAATTTATAATACAGAAAGGATAAGAGCAAAACAGATTATTGAACAAAAGGACTCTAGGACATCTACTATTTATATCTCCAGTCAGAAGCATTTTTTAATGTTTTCAGTGCCATTTTCTATTTTTTGCTTCACAGATGAGCTACGTTTTGTTTCATTTTTGGTTTGTGTCCAGCTATGTCCAGAAATTTGCAGGTTATATTGCCTGATTTTAATTTAATTGGTGATTATTAGTTACTGCCCTTCAGGGTTTTCTTCCCCAAATAAATACTTGATCAAATTCAAAAGGATCACAACATTTAAAATACCCTTATGTAAGGCAAAACATTTAGTATACCTCTGTGGTACAATTTCCGGTAGGTTAATTTAATCTAGGATTACAAGGGCTAGACATTTTACACTTTGAACTCTTCTAAAACTTCTGACTTTTTATCGTGGCAATGCACCTGAATACAACAGTTACTTAGATTAATTCTATGCACATAGTTTTAAATCAATGTATACTGCTAGCTTTTTGGTTTTGTTTTCTTAAACTCACCTTTCCCACTGTACAAACTCTTAATTTTGATTCAGTGCATCATCGGCTGATACAGTTTTAAATTAATGTTTTCATGCAGCGTGTGAAGGATGCATTTTATGACTTTCTTTACACCCTTTGATCCCCTTTGTAGATGAATGACAACGTATCTGGGTCTCAGGCCTCCACTTTGTTCTTAACACTGACTTTGCTACGGTAATTTCCAGCATTTAGTGTTCTAGAGAGAAGTCTGAGGATAACCTGACACTTCAACCCCTTAACTCCCTCCCACCTTCCCAAACTGTAGTGTTTACTTTCTCATTTGTGTCCTCAGGATTTTTTAAATTACTTTCACATTTTATTACTTTTGATCTGCTCATAAGGTTTTTTTTCCCCTTCTCAGAAATAATTTTTTTAAATGGGAGTTTTAAAATGGTTTCAGGGCTCACTCTCTTGCACACGCTGTCACCATTTCTGTTTCTCTGTTTTTCAAGAGCATTTAATAGTCATTAGTTGTAGCTCTTTTCCTATATAACTCTTACTTTTTTTTGTCCTTCTCATCTTTTTCTCCCTTTCTTCTTGGAGAGTCTCTCAGATTTATTCATAATGATTTTGCTCTTTATTGCCTCAAATGCAGATCTCAGTGTTGTTGCTTCTAATTTCGTTGCACTCTTTTATCTTAAACCTGCTCCCTTTCTCACTGTCGTCTCCACTCATGAAGTGCTCTTCTCATTTCAGAGTCGTCATCTTCCTGTACATTTAAAATGTAAGGCAGACCTTTCTAAACACTTTCTTCCATTTCCTAGTTTTTGGGTTTTATATGTGTGTTTATTTTCTGTTCCTTAGTGTAATACTCTCTTCCTGTAAACTTTAATATTTTATCCACAGGTCCCATAATATTGGAATCTCTTTTCTGTCTAAAAGAGCTCTATCCAAACACAGTGTATAAGTTTCCCTAACTGCCTGATGCTGATATAATAAATACCCTTTTGTATGAGTTTGCTCTGGCTGCCGTAACAAAATACCCCACAGACTTGGTGAATTAAAGAATATAAATTTATTTCTCACAGTTCTGGAGGCTGGAAGTTCATGATCAGGGTGCTGGCGGGGTCAGTTTCTGGTAAGGCCTCTCTCCTTGCCTGTGGACAGCTGCCTTATCATTGGGTCCTCACATGGCCTTTCTGTGCGTGTGCTCACCCCTGGTGTCTCTTCCTCTTCTTATGAGGACACCAAGTACTACTGGGTTAGGGGTCCATTCTTAAGACCTCATTAGCCTTAATTACCTCCTGAGAGGCCCTCTCTCCATATACAGTCACATTAAGGGGGGGTGGGGGTTAGGGCTTCAACATGCAAATAGGGGGGAAGACAATTCAGTCCATAACACCTCTTCAGAGCAAGCTGAGGCTTTCAGCCTTAAGCCATGTTCTAGGTCGTCCAATAAGAACTAATTCTGGATTGAGGTGGGAGCTTCCCCTGTTTTGACCTCTCTATGCTCTGATTTTGATGAAGGGAAACAATTCTGAAGGCACTCAAGTTGATAAGTCCTCAAAATCAATAAATGGAACAAGTCCAAGTTCCAGGAGTGCCGCTGCCTGAGTCTTCTTACAAGCAGCTGACATTACGCCCAGCCACGCCCAGACCCAAGTTGTCGCTAAATATGAGTCTGTAAAAACAGGGGCTCTCCATGTACTTCTTCTTTTCTCTTTCTGCTTCCCTTCCTCTTTTACTTTATTTTTAGAAACCATTTTATTAATTTCGTGTTTTCACTGTTAAGGATGGGGTTCCTCAGAAAACACAGGTTGGCTCCCATGAAGAAATGAGCTCTGGGCAGAGAGTTCTGTGGGAGTCCCCGCTTTTGCCCCTGCTTTCCAGCCCAACTCTGTTCTGCCTCAAAGTCAAAGAGTGAAGGGGTACACTCCTTCAGTCCATCTTCTTCCATGATGTGGTTAAAGGAAATTCCTCCCAGATTCAAAAAAATGACCGTTTAAAAATACTTTTTAATGTTTTCATACATATTTTGTAGGGAATTAGGGAGGTGGAGATGGAAGAGGGAAGCTCCCTACCCTTCCTAACTCTCTAGCAGAGCCCCGGGCTTTAGGTAAATCATTCTCATTTGATGTAGAGAAGCCAGATTTTCAGAACAGGTCCCAACGACTGAGAAATCACACCTTCTGGCTAAGTGAGTGGGGGTTATAATAATTCTCTGTGGAGTGGTCATTTCTAATTTTCTGTATTGTTTTCCAGCTTGGAATCCTGCAGCCTAACTACGGTTTGTTGTCTAAATATCTCTAAGGCTCTCATCAGAAGCCAGAGCCTGAGATCTCTGAATCTATCGACTAATAACCTACTGGATGACGGAGTGATGCTGTTGTGCGAGGCCTTGATGCATCCAAAGTGTTACCTGGAGAGACTGTCGTGAGTCTTTCTGTACTGTTTTCTGTAGAGTCATTCTGTGCAGTCTTGTATACTTCCATTATGATCTGAACGGGGAAGCTGCTTGGGGCTTGACACTAACTGGCTGATTCGTCAGTCCTGGATGACTGCCTCCTTTTCTTTGCCTGCCTGCGTTCCTCTTTGACTTGACTCTTAGAGACACTTTTTTTAATGACAGACTTCTTACTTTCATTCCTTTCCAGGCTTCTCTTTTCTCCTCCTCTGTTTATCTCATCAGACCCTGTCCATAGCTGCGATGGAATTCATAATTAAAGTAGGTCTGCCGAGGCTGCTTCTGGAGTAGAGATGGAGGGGTTGTAAGTACCAGCTAGCTTCCCTGTGAAGGAGAAGAGAAGCATGAACCTTCTCTTCCCTCCCCATCTGTATTTCTCCTTCAGCTTAGAACACTGTGGCCTCACAGCAGCTGGCTGTGAGGATCTGTCTTTGGCTCTCATCAGCAATGAACGGCTGACACATTTATGCTTGGCGGACAACGTCTTGGGAGATGGTGGAGTCAAGCTTATTAGCCATGCCTTGAAACATCCACAGTGCACTCTACAGAGCCTTGTGTAAGCATCTACTAGTTTTCATCCTTCCAATATAACAGACCTTTTGACATACATTTAAAATGGAAAAATATTATGAACATATTCTGTCCCTTGCTTTTTTCTCTCCTGTTATCCCTGACAGTGAAGATGATGAAGATGATAATAATCATTGCCATTTATTATGTCCTTACTCTGTGCTGAGCCCTGTGCAAAATTTAATCAGCACAAAAGCACCTGTTGGTGTCAGATTAGCCACTTGAGTTTGAAATGCCTCACTGAACAGTGAGGAATGTGAGGCGTAGAAAGATTATGCAGCTTGCATGATGCTTCCAAGAAAATGATGGATTCAGGCCTAAAGTCCACCCATCCCAGATCGCTTGTGTGCATTCCCTTTGCAGTTCAGGGGCCTGCATTGTTTAATATCTTCACTATGTCTCTCTAATCCTTTTGGTCAATATTAATTAGATAGCTTAAAATAACTTTTGAAATCATTTGATGTTGAACATCTTTTCAAATGTTAACCTTTAATATTCTAGGAATTGCCTCTTCATAAGGTGTTTTCTTGTGGATATTTTCTGTTTTATAGGCTATGTTATTAATTATATTATATATTAATATATATATTATTACTATTACATTACTGCTATTTTTTTATTTATTATAAGTAACCTACCTGGCATGTTGCTGTATTTCTAACTTTTATGGTCATTTTTAGACTACAGACATTCAAAACTTCTGTGAGGTCAAATTACCTCCCTCCTGCATGACTTCTAGAAGTTTTTTCATAATTGGAAATACCTTTTTTTTAATCCACTTCTATCATCTTTTCCTACTCTTTGCGGATGAATTTTTAACATTTAAATGTTAAATTATTCCAAATGTATTGTGTTATAAGACTTAAACTTTCTTTCCCCCATACATCAGGCCTATCATCTGCACTTCATTTATATCCGAATACATCTTTTCCCTTCTGGTGGGAAGTGCCACTTTTACCATGCACAGAAAGTCCTTATTGTATTACGATTGCGCCCATCCTACTTCGCGTGCCTGCGCCTCCACTCCAGGCAGCTGCTTCTGCAGTAGAACACTGTATTTATGAGTGATGTAAAGATGTTAACGTGTTATTTATAATTCTGAAGAATGTGATTCCAGTTTTGTAGCCAAATCTGGTACCAACCTAAATACCCAAGTGAGACAGCCAAAGAGGCAGCGAGGGAGGAGGGCCTTAGGTCTGAGATGCAGTGCTGGCAAGTGGATACAGGACGGTAACGTGAAACCTTCCTAAAGATACAGGGCTCTGAGCAGTGACCCCGTCTTCCCTCGCCGTCCTCTCCACAGGCTGAGGCGCTGCCACTTCACGTCACTCAGCAGTGAGTGTCTCTCTGCCTCGCTCCTGCGCAACAGGAGCCTGACGCATCTGGACCTGGGGTCCAACTGCCTGCGAGACGACGGAGTGAAGCTTCTGTGCGACGCCTTCCGGCGTCCAGGCTGCCGTCTCCAGGCCCTGGAGTAGGTTTTCCGTGGCCTCCCGTCTGCGTCGCTTTAAGTACTGTGAGGGCAGGGGGGATGCGGCAGGAAAGGCAGGGAGCCGACTAGCTGTCAGAGAAAAGAATCCACAGCCGATTCCCTCTCCCCCTCATTCTGGGAGACAGGCTGGGGAAGTCTGTGGGTCCGATTTTCCTTAAACAATTACTGCAGTGACGACAGTCGGCTTCCCTCAGGTAAGGAGCACCGGGGACACCAGGCCGAGCTTTAGCCGTTTTTTTTCCCCTTGGTCATGCTCCAGGGAGTCTACTGTGTGTCTTCTGCCGCACATCCATGAAGCTGAAACTGTGCTCACTGGTTTTTCTCTCTTAAACTCAGGCTTGTAATTCGGTCAGCGTCTAAAGAAGCTGGGAAGGGAAGTTTTTTAAAATATGCAGCAATCCAGTCATTCTCAAACAGCAGCGAGTTTTGCTCCCCTCATGTTCTCTCTTCCTCTGGCAGTGGGCGCACGTCCATGTGCGCGATGTGCGTCTGTAATTGTGACCACTGTGCAGACTTAGAGGTTTCCTTTTTACATGATAGGACTTCAGAAGCACATTTAAATACTTACATACAATTATTATTTTAATGGCTACATGATGTTTAATGTTTCACTAGGTAAATATTGTGGCTAGTGTGAAGCAAGAGAGAGATGTCACTGAGAGATCTTAGCTCATGTTCCCACCAGGGCCTCCTGTGGGACTAGCAGCCTGGGTGAGTCACTAAGGGTCCAACCCCAGCATTGCTTTGCTAGAACTGTAAACTGAAGATCGCTGGTATACCCAGAGGTGCTTGGGCTGACGACTGACTCATGAGAATCAGATTTCCAAATGAGTTTAATAGTTGATTGTAAACACTGCGGTAAACACTACGGTGTAACACATCCGTAAACACCAGGGTGATTGAACTCTTCGGCCCAATAAGCATCTGTACTTCCTTTTGGAAATGTATGGGGTATGGGTTATGATGTGATTCTTTGGTTTCCTTGATGATTATTCAACTGGAAGACAAAATTATACCTAATGGAGTTTATCACTTAATCCAGTGCCATCATGTAATTTACAGAGACATACTTTCTAAGTGACCTATGCACGTAAGCATTGCTGTAACACCTGGACACATTGCTTTCTTAGCTGCCTTCGCAGCCTCTGTGGGCACATGCCAGTTCTCTCGGCCAGTGTTTATGCCAAATATGAGCTACATGCTCAGAGGACTAAAGGTTATTTCTCAGGTGATGCTTTTGTCCTTGGGTAACTCACAAAATGCCAATGGCAGGGAAAAAAAATACAGAGCCAATTATAATACATTCCATCTGTTGTTACAAGGATATGGCAGAAGTCCTAGGGAGCAAGGAATGGGATGGAAGAAACCGAGTTTCTTTAGGCTTAAAAGATAAAGAAGATTTTGTTACGTGCAGATTTCCTAGGCAGAAGGAAAGGAGTGAAAAGAAGGGAAATGCAGATAGATGCAGTATATTTGGGAGAAACTGGATGTGTATGGTGGGAAAATGGGTGAGACAGTATGGAAAGAGAACACAAGGCCAGATTGTGAATGCTCTTAAATGCCCTAGAAAGGACCTGAAAGAAACATCTTTTTGTGTGTAGCTATCTTCTTTGGAGATAACACTTTGAGACGGATTCCTGGAAAGCATTTTTATGTCAAAAATACATTAGAAACTGAAAGCCTAGAGATCTGTGGGTTCCTTGGGAAAGCTTACGTCCACTGGATTTAGTATTGGCAGAAATATGTGTTTATGCCCTGGATTTGGGAAGTTTGTTAGAAAGCAACCTGTTTGTGGGAGAAAGCAGTTTCACTTGCGTTTTTTATTTTGTTCTGTTCATTAAGAAATCCCATCTGTTTCTACTGTTAATGTTAGATCTTCCTGTGGGCATCCTAGATTGTAGACAGAAAAGGCTCAGAAAAAAAGGCTCAAATACCTGGGCCTCTCTCCTGGGAATACGCAAATTAAGCCTCACAACTGAAGGTCTCACTTCTCTCTTGTGCTTCTTGCAGACTGATGGGTTGTGTTCTCACCAGTGCATGTTGTCTGGATCTGGCCTCTGCTATTCTGAACAACCCAAACCTGCGGAGCCTGGACCTTGGGAACAATGACTTGAAGGATGATGGAGTCAAAATTCTGTTTGAGGCTTTGAGACATCCAGACTGTAATATTCAGAGGCTTGGGTGAGTTCAGTTTTCTATTACGATAATGCTACCTGTTTGGTGGCTTGTGTAGCTAGAAGAGATTTAGTATATGCAGCGGGTAGAAAATAAATGGGCCTAGAAGGTAAGTTACTCTCAGAAATGAGAATGTGAATTTCAAATATATGGATCAATGCAGTGCATGTTGTTAGTACAGAAGCCACATTTCACGTTTGTTTCTTTGTGTCCTTGGTGCCTTGGCCAGAGTATGTACTAAGTAAGTGGTCCTTGATTCAGGTCTGTGTTCTATTATCCTTCCATCTGTCCTTGAATTAATTTTCTTATTAAATCAAAGATTCTACTAATCATCTTCCATCTGGAAAAGTGCTATTGATGCTCTCAAGGAGGCTGCAACCTAATAAAATCTCACTCTGTGTGCTGAGTACTTTCTATGTCCAATCATATATTGTTTAGATTTTTATTTTCTTTTTAAATCTTGAACTGATATTGGCTAGTACATTTTTACTTACACGGCATGAATTATTGACATCTGGGTCAAGAATTTTGCTCAGAATGTGGGAAGCCCAGGCACTATGATATGTCTTCATGATTCTCCCAAGAAAGTGCTCCTTTTTCTGGTTGCATTGACTGTTTATATATGCTTTTTTTTTTTCACAACAATGATGATGTTGTAACTGTTGGGTCTGAATTTTAATTTTATAATCTAATAAGTCAGCCTATTACTGTTTTGTGGATGCTGGCAGGAGACACAGAATCCTGTCAGAGTCGGAGGACTTTATTACTTACTCATAGCATAGCCCCCATTAGCTCTGGGCACATTGGTGTGCTCTTCCCTTGTGCCCCAAGGCCCCCAGGGTGGATGTGGGGGATGAGGATGTATGCCTGCACATGCAGTGGGCTGCTTTCCAGGAGAGGAGCATTGAGTTTGGCCACCATTTTACAGCAAGCAGTGAGCAAGCCTGCTCTTTGTCCTGGAGGGAGACATTATCCCAAACCTCAAGGCTGCTCATTGCACACACATCCTAGGAAATGGCCCAGGTAAAGAGTTGTCAGGGCCTGGCATTTCTGTCAGCAGTACATGTAGGAGTTCCAGACCATGGAAGAAGGTCTCCCAACAATATCCAACCCTTTTTTCTACACAGTAATACAGTCTTGGCTTCTGATTATTCCCAAGGATATGCCACTCCATTGGCCACTCTGATTAATCTGACCAGCAGAGGCTGGGACCACCTTTGTTCAGTTTCTCTCATACAATATTTAATTAAGGCCACTATCAACAAGACTCCAAGCACAGGATGAGGCCAAATTTGCAGTACTGATTTAAACTATGCCCCCAGGGTCCTGGACTCAGCCAACTGAGTAACAACAGGAGGAACAATAGGGCTTGTTTTCCATTACAGTTCCTCGAAAGGAAGTTTAGAAGGACCTGCTGCTCCTGGTGTCACTGGCAGTAAATTAAGGAGGCAAAAGATGGGCCAAAAGCAACCCCTTCCCCATTAAAGAGACATGCAGTGGTCCACACTTCCCCACGTGCAGACAGACATCTGACCCGAAGGAGCACAGGCTGCACCAGCGTGGGGTTCGCTGTTATATTTGATCTGGGTCATTGTTACATTGATTTGGTTATGTCAGGTGGGCATCGTCACCAAGTAGTTACAGCTGCTTTGTTTGCCACACGAGGCATAAACCCAAGGCTGTTCCAGCGTCAAGAGAATCTTAGGAATTTGTATTAGACTGAAACAAGGTCCTACCGGTTGTCATGTTTGTACCCAGATGAGAGGGATCCACATTTGGGGTCTGCCATCTATGGCCTCAGGTACAGCAGAATCGTTCAGAGCCTGCCATGTCCACATGAGCTTTTCTGTTTTCATAGCACGTGGACAGCATGACAACAGAGCAGTGGGTCAGGCCACCGGCTGCAGCTCCTGCTTGACTAAGCAGACCACAGAATCATTTTGCCAGGTGGCAGTGTTGGATCTGGGAGGAAAAAGAGCCTTAACTGTTCTCCCCACTTCCTACACCTTCCAGCTTCTAAGGTGGCCCTTCCCTGGGTCTTAGTGTTGCTAGTCTTCCCCCTCACCATGAAGTCAGTGCATCCCATCCCGGTGCCTGTGACTTCACTTTTTCTCTAATCATCCCCTGCTTGCACCCAGGCCTTCAGGCCAGAGGGATCAGATGGAAGAGAGACATAAGTAGTTTTACAGTATCTACAGAAACCCATTATCTCCTACTCCTTGGTCCGTAAGGGGATTTATCCAGCATTGTCTTCAACCAGATGATCACTGTCCTCATGATCTAGGACCTTGTCAATCCAAAAGAGAACCCAGTTGTCTAAACAGATTTAGGTTTGAATCCCAAAGGCCTTTTTGGCTGGCCTACCACCTATCAATCTGGCTGGCCTGGAGCTGCTGTCAGGGAAAGAAAAGAAGCATGCCCAGGAATGGTCAGGATACAATCGTGAAACTTCAAAGTAGGTTTTTGGGGTTTTTTAAATATATATAACCTGCTATCCCTTTCATCTTAACCATTACCCTGGAGGTGGCCAAAAAGAGTCAAGCCATTTCAGGGGACAGCCACGTTTAGTGACCAAACTGCCCCACTAAGCTATGTAGACCGGGAGTTGTTGAGGGAGGTAGGGTCAGTAATCTTTCTGATTTAATTTCAAGGGGTTATTCCAGGGTTTTTTTGCATATTTGAAAATGTCTTAGTTTTCTATGAACTTGAATAGCAGCCTGGTTGTGTTCATAATATTTTGGTCATCCTCTGAGAGTTTTATTAGTCCGCTGCCTGCTAGCATTGAATCTGGTTGTAGGAAAGTTTGAAACCAGCTGATTCTTCCCCTTCAATGTCCTTATTGGTTTTAAAAAAAATTTTTTTCCCCTGGATGTCCTTAGAGTTTCTCCTTTAGCCCAATAATTTGTCCTGTGTTGAATTTTCTTTATTAATATTTTTCTGGGGACATGATGTTCCATTTAAGTCTGTAGATTGTGCTTTTTAGGGGTAAGTTTTCCTATCTTTAATTTCTGTATATTTGTCAGTTTTTTTGCAAGGTCACCAATTATGCTTATGTTGGATCTCTTCTGTTTGTATTCCTTATCGATAATTTTCTTTAATCTTTTAAAGATTTTTCTAACCCATCCTACATATTCCTAAGTCTTTTGTTAGCAGTTGTGACTCTTTTGCTCCTTTTAATGAGACCTTCATTCTGTCATTTTAATTTTTCTGTTCTGTTATGTTTAAGCTCTGCCAAATCATATTTTAAACATTTTTAAATAAAATACAGAAAAATAAATTAAACTAGTATTTTAAAAAATCAAGCGTGTATGTAATCACACTCAGGTCAGGAAATTTTCCTAGTGAATTTCCCTCAGTCCCTCCCAAATCACAACAACTTCTGTCTTCTTCAAGAAGTAAACATTATCCTAACTTTGATAGCAGTCACTTATGTGTTTTCTTGTACAGTGAGCCATGATGTATATAATCATAAACAATGGACTTGAATTTTGCTTGATTTTGAATTTTATATTCAGGGAATCATACTTTATATATTCTTTTGTGTTATGATTTTATCTTATGATTGTAAGAGTTATCTGGTTGTTTCCTGTGGCTGTTTTTATTCATTTTTTATTGCTATAAAAGATGAATGAATGACCATACCACAGACTATTGCTAATCTGAAACCAATAGATTGCCAGATATTTCTCTGGCAATAATGGGTTTATTCAGGATCAACAGAGAATTATAATTCAGCATCTGTAACCATGATGAGCTATTTGTAGTCTCCACATGGCAAGAGAAGGAGAATGCTTTTATACAGGGGAAAGGAAGTTGGGAGGGCTACAGTAAACTAAGAGTCCAGGGCTTTTCATCGGCTGAGTCCTTGCCAGAAATAGAAGTCCTTTTTCTTCCAGTGGGGTTCTATCTTTGCAGGGTGCGAGAGCTCCCCCTGCTGGTCTCCCAGCTCTATTTAATTGAGGTTCTGTTTAGTAGTTTTCCTAAGCTATATAAACCATTCTATTGGTGGACTTCTGGGTTGTTTTCATTTCTTTTCTTTAATGATTAGTGCTGCTATGGGTATTTTAATACATTAACTGTGAGACACCCATGTACACATTTATCTAGGGTAAATAATTAAGAGTGGAATTAATATCTTGGGGAATATTCCCCAAGGATTAGACTAGTTTATTCTACCACTGGCAATGTGCAAGAGTTCCTGTTGCTCTCTGTTCTTGTCAATTTTATCAGACTTAATTTTTAAGAGTTTAGCCAGTCATGTGTGGTTTTAGCATATGATTGTGTAAGACTGGAATTATGTCTTCCTTGTACTTTGTAGAAATTTCTGGTGAAGTCATGTGATCTGGAGTTCATTTTTGTGGAGAGTTTTTTGACTTCTGCCTCAATTTTTAAATAATTATATACTTACATAGATTTTCTCTTATTGAGTAATTTTTGGTAAGTGATAATATTCCTGTAATTTTATCCAGTCTCAATTTTAAAACTTATTGGCAAGTGTCTATTAATACTGTATTATTATCTGTTTAATGTCTCAATCATCTCTAGTGATTTAGATATCAGTCATGTTTCATTAATATTTTATCTTATTATTTCTTCTACTTTTGTTGAGTTTATTTTACCATTCTTTTTCTAAATTCTTGAGTTGGATGACTTAGCTCATACGTATTTCCTTCTTTTCCAACAGACTTATGATTTTCCTTCAAATCACTGCATTAACTTCAGCCGACAAGATTTTATATTATATGTAGTGTTTTTGTTATTTTTGAGTCTAAAATATTTAACTCAAGATTTTTTTCTTCAACTCATGGATTATTCTAAAGTGTACTCCTTACTTTTCAAACATAAGAGGAGTTTCTTGTTATCTTTTTACATTTAATCTCTAGCACTGTAGTCTGAGAACACTTCTGTGCATGATTTCAGCTCTTTAAAATTTGTTAACATTTGTTTCACGGCCCATGTATAGTCAGTTTTGTATGTGTCCATAGTGCACTTGAGAAGAACACGAAGAGTTCTGGGCTGCAGTTTTCCTATCAGTTAAGATTGTTTTTTCTGTTGTTCAAATCATCTGGTATTTTTAGTGATTTTTTTTCCAGATAATTCAATTACTGTGAAAAATAGGTTAAAATTTGTTATAATTACAGATGTGTGTATTTCATTTTGTAGTCCTGTTAGTTTTTATTTTCTATATCTTGAGACTTTTATTAGTGACTGCAAATTCAGAATGATTGTTTCCTGATGAATTCTTGATGACCTTTTCTCTTATAATGCTTTTAACCCTAACGTTTACTTTGTATGACATTTATGTAACGTGTCAAAATTAGTGGGACTATTGCCCCCACCAATTAATGTGTGTTCCATGTGGGTAGCAACTGGAAAATATTTTTACATACTCAGCACCTATATAGACACTTAAATGTTGAATGTCTAGATAAACAGAAGATGAAAATTAAAATTAATGGGTTGGGGGGGAATCATCAGGTCCAGAAGGTTGAGTTGAATATGATTCATCAGTTCGTGATATTATATTATCTCTGGTTTATGCGAGGGCCCTCTGTTGCCTGTTGGTTGGTCGGTTAGTTAATGTATCTCCATTAACCATATCTCCTTCTCACCTGTAGGCAACTTACCTAATGTGTTTGAAATACACCATAGAATTGTGTGTCCTTACAAAAGATGTAATATTGTTTCTAAGTGTATGCATTTTTATTTGCATAAATGGCATGGTGCTAGAGACCTCATTATATACCTTGCCCTTTTACACTCAATACCATATTTCTAAAATCTATTTATGTTGCTATACTTTTAATCCTGTTCAAGGATTCAGTTGCTTCATAGTTTTCCTTTGTGTGTTTCCACATTTACTCCCTGGACCATAATTATGACTTTGTAATTCATGATATGATATAGGAGTGTATATCTTCAACCCATAAATAGCTAGAAGTAATGAACATTATACTTATATTCCTTGACTTTACCCACGTTGTGCTCATTTTTCAAGCTTCTGGGGTCCTCCTACACGCCCCACTCTCAGATCTCGTGTGTATGCTCTCTGTCATGGGAGATAGTTCATTTCATCTTTAGTCTCTCCTCCCTGCAGGTTGGAATACTGTGGTTTGACCGCCCTCTGTTGTCAGGATCTCTCCTCTACCCTGAGCAGCAACCAAAGACTGATAAAAATAAACCTGACCTTGAATACCTTAGGGCATGAAGGAATTAAGAAGTTATGTGAAGTCTTGAGGTCTCCTGAATGTAAACTGCAGGTTCTAGGGTAAGTCGTCGTTGGCTTCTCAGGGGGAAAGGTTCCTGGAATGAGGGGTTTGGGGAGCCACTCGTTCAGGGCTAGCCTCAGCCTCAGCCTGATTGTGGGTCCTCTGGTGTTGTCCAGGCCCTTATTTGTTTTTCTCCCATCGAACACTGAATTCCAAGAGATATGATGTAGCATAGGAGTTAGGAACCAAGAACTCTGGAGCCGGACTACCAGAGTTTAAATTCCGGCCCTAACACTTACTAGATACTTGAACTCGTGCTAGTCCCCAGTCTCTGTGTTTCTGTTTCCTTATCTGTAAACTGGATGAAATGCTAACATTTGCCCACAGGGTTTCTGTGAGGCTGGACCACCTGAGTCAACACAGGCAGTATTTAGAGCAGTGCCTAGCATATAATGTGTTTGTGTTGGCTGTTTTCATAGTCATGATTAGTAGAACTATCTTGCTTGAATAGGAAAAGGCTCTCGGCGGATCCTTTAAAATCTTAACCTATTTTCTCTTTCTCTCTATACTCTGTTGTCCTTCAGCTGCTGTATCTCCCTCAATGGATCGGTCAGTTTCCTTGCCCGCTGCCTGGCCATGTTCATATTCTCTTTCAGGTCTCCCCCACTCAAATAAATCCCCAGAGAAAGTAAAGGGCTATGGGGAAACCGGAAGGTGCTTTCGTGGCAAGAAGAGATGTTCCCTTGTTTTCTCAGGTTGTGCAAAGAGGCATTTGACGAGGAAGCCCAGGAGCTGCTAGAAGCGGTGTGCAGCAGCAACCCACACCTTGCCATTAAGCAGGACTGTGATGACCATGACGAAGAGGACGGCTCCTGGTGGCGGTGTCTCTGACTCAAAAAACCTGGTAGTCTTGAACAGAGCCAAATAAAGACCCCGGCAAGACAAGGCCGGGGGGCTTCATGTCCAGACGTCACGCATTTGATGTCTGCCAGGTATAGGTTAGTCACTTCTCTGTAAAATGCTCTAGTTCACACAGGGGTTAAGAGGCAAAAATAAAATGGAAGACTTAAAGCTCTGTGCAAGTGTAACACGTTTTTCCCTGAACTTGGAATTGAAGAATTCAGAGAATCCTAGAAGTGAGACTAGAGGAGAGGGGCTGGGGAAGATTACGTTCAAGCACCTGGCTCTGCTTTCTCTCCATTCCCACCGCCGGGGCTTTCTTCACAGCCTCGCCATCTGTGGCACATTTTACTGAATGCTTCCCCGTTGAGTGCCTGGGGCCACTCAGGTCAAAATCACTTGGGTGTTTTTTTAAAATGGCAATTCCTAAGCCCCACACCAGACTTACTGAATCAAGGTATCTGGGTGAGGGCCCTAGAAACAGGCATTTTTGATAATTTTCCAGGCAATTCTTTGACACATTAATATTTAAGACTCACTAATCTCAGTAGAAACAGGAGTCCACTTCTGCAATCAATCTTTTCCATAGCTGATTGTGAAGATACAAGGAGATATAAAGGTTATTGGGGTTGGAGCTTAAAAACGGATTCTTCCATTTGGCAGAAACACGGCACAATGACATTTTCTGGGAAGGAATGTTTTGGTTATTTATCGCTATATAACAAACTATTCCAAAACATAGTGGCTTAAAACATGAGTCACTTTGTTATATTTCATGACGTGATGGATTAGAACCAGAAGGGGCTCAGCTAAGCATTTCTTACGCTCCACAGGACATCCCCCGGTGTCCCTTGGTGGTGTTCAGCTGACAGCCGGGTTGCTTTAGAAGCCTGAGGATGACTTTAGTCACATGCCTGGTGCCTTGGACAGGATGGGTGACTGGCAGGCTGAGTTGGGCTGGGCCCCTCTTCCCTCTAGGCTTAGGGCCTCTCCAGTAGGGAGGAAGGACTACTTTGTTAGAGATTCAGGGCTTGAAAAAGTCAAGTGGAAGTTGCCAATTCTCTTAAAAGCTAGGCCCAGAACTGGCATAAGGTCATTTTCTTTCACTTCCTTGGTCAGAACTATCCAGGCCACCCCAGATTCAAGGGCCATCACTTGTTGATGGCAATAGTGTCAAAGAATTTGTGGCATTCCTTAGTCCACCACCAACTCTTACCAATTTTTTCTCCCTGTCTCTAGGGGATAAGAAAGCCTCTTAGCTGGGATAACAGCTCCTGGGTGACTGTAGCAGGGCTGGAGACAAGAGTGAACCAAGGCAGTTAGAAAGGGACAGATGGCAATCATGGGACAACTTGCAGGTAATGTAACTGGAGCTGATAGCTGCACAGAACAGTGATACGCTGACATCTGGCAGAGATGATACCTAGAGAGGAGTCAGTATTGAGGTTGACTCCCTGTGATGACAATCATGCTGGTTAGAGAAAGCTAGCCTCGGGCTGTTGTAACAAACACAGAAAAGGAAGTACATGTCAGAGAAGGGGTGTTCCTTTCCCACAGCAGCTTTGGGCTGCAGTGAGCATCTTATCTTTCAAAGACAATGGGATTTCCAAGCTGCCCAGGTAAAACTCCAGCCAAGGTGTTGATAAATGCTTCTCATCAAGATGATTTTTTTTTACCAAATTTTCAGATAAAAGAAAATTCTTTTGTTTTTTAAACCCAATTTCAGAGCACTGAAGATAACAGAGGAAGATAACTTTCTCATTTCATTTTATAAAGTGAGAACTTTGATGATAGAACTTACAAAGGTAGCACTAAAGAGAAAGCTGAATATTGCTTATGAATATATATGCAAAGGCCAAATGTATTTGAAAATTAATTCTAACAATTAATTAAAATATACCATGACTATTATGATTTATAACAAGTGCAAGAGAGGACAAGTACTAGGAGGAATGTTATAATTTACAACATTAGCTACTTGGTGGAGAAAGACCAAGGAATCCCCTTTATATTGTCAACTACTTCTGTAGCACGACAAGGACTGTTTCCCTTGTGCTGACAACAGTACACTAGAAGCACCGCCATTTAAATGTTGAAAACATGCCTGGTATCACTGCTGTCAGGGAACCTATGGGCCAGGATTAGGGTGTGGCAAGTGAGGCATTTATTCTCAGGGTTTCAAGTACAGGGTCAGACACTGTCTTTCTTTAAATTTTTAATATTTGGTTACCATGGATGTTTTTGCATTAATTTTGATTTTTAAAAATATTCCCCTAAAATGTTATTTATCTTGATTACTGAGGTTCTTTTTTGTTTGTTTTGTTGTTGTTGTTTTTGGTGGGGGAGGTAATTAGGTTTACTCATTTATTTATTTATTATTTAGAGGAGTAATTGGGGATTGAACCCAGGACCCTGTGCATGCCAAGTATACACTCTACCATTTAGGCTATACCCTCCTCCCCTACTGAGGTTCTTTGCTTGGTTTTTGGCATCTCCTTAAATTTCATGCATCAGGCAAACCATTCCCCTTATCCTAAACACAGCTCTGTGTTAGGGATGGTCTGTAATTTTAAATGGTGTAGTTAAGGAGTCAAAGAGGATAGTCAAAGAATCAAACATTAGCTTTGTTGATTCTTTATATTTTGTCTGTTTTCTTTTTTATAAGCTTATTTTGTAAATTCTTGTTTCATATTTTCTGTTATCTTTGAATTTGTTTTGTCAGTATGCTAACTTCTCAAGTTAGAGTCTTACCTTATTGATTTCCAGCCTTTTATTGTAAGCATTAAGGTTTTAATTCCCTTCTTATTTACATTTTAGCTGAATTCTCATGCTTTGAACATGGAGTCTTTTTTTTTGAGGTATAACTGATTTACAATATTATATAAGTTTCAAGTATACAACATAGTGATTCAAAATTTTTAAACATATTCTGTTCATAGTTATTATAAAATGTTGGCTATATTCCCTGTGCTGTACAATATATCCCTGTAGCTTACTTATTTTATATATAGTAGCTTGTACTTCTTAATCTCCTACGCCTATTTTGCTCCTTCCCACTGGTAATCATTAGTTTGTTCTTTCTCTATTTATCTGAGTCTCTTTCTTTTTCGTTACATTCACTAGTTTGTTTTACTTTTTAGACTCCACATATATGTGGTATCATACAGTGTTTGTTTGACTTTTTTCACTAAGCATAATACCCTCCAAATTCATCCAGAATATGGAGTATTTTCACTAACATTCAGGTCCAAATATTTTCTGATTTACACAATTTTTTTTCTGTGACCCATATGTCACAAAGAAGCATGCTTATAAATTTCCAAACAGGCATTTTAAAAGTTATCATCTTGCTATTGGTTTTTAATCTAACAGAGTTCAGATAATGTGTTCTGTATGAAAATCATTTTTGAAATTAGTTAAAATAGAATTTCTGGCCTCATATATAATCAACTTTCTATGTGTACTTGAAAATAATATGCATTTTCCCATGAGTGAAAATGTGTATGTGTATATGTAGCCGTTAAGTCAAGGTTTTTAATGATGCAGTTCAAATTTTCCTGTACTAATTTTCTCAGTCTATAAATTACTAAGATCATTTTCTTTAAATCTTTTAATAGGATGGACAGATTTCCTATTTGTATAGTTCTTTAAAATTTTCCTTTAGATATTTTGAGGCTATGGTATTGAGTAAATGTGGTAGAAACATGTTACAGGCAGCTTGGAGATCACATGCTTTCAGCTTGGCAACCAAGGAGAAAAGATCTCTTTTATTCCCCTGCTTTGGTTTAAAATGTTTTCCAAAGACTAATTGGTCCATTGTAGATCCAGTGAAGCAGTAAAATAATTTTCAAAGATTTTAAATCATGACTCTTATAGAGATGCAGAGTGAATTCTTGTGAAAGAATATCAATTCATTAGTAAGGGAGCTAGTGAGATGCTGATTTACAAAGCATTTGAGGAACAAGAGTTTATATATCCATCATGAAAGGCATTTTTAGAAGTTAGAATAACATAGCAAGGTAGATACAAAACTGATTAATGTGCTACTAGGCAATAAATGATAACCTTTGGGATTATCTTTTCAACCATATAGAGAAAATTTACACTGGTAAGAATTATTTGCACTGCTATTAGGTTTCTACAAGATAACCTTTACCCTTACAAAGTTGTGAATGTTCTGATCAATAGAACTAAAAGTCGGAGAACTGTTAAAAGATAAAATGAGGCACATCAAAAATTTTAAGAGTTTATTTAAACAAAAAACTATTTAAATAGGGGAATGCCAAACCAGAAATGGTTAGGCGCACTCCACCCGACAGGAGCTAGGGGAAAGACTTTAACAGAGAAGATGCAAAAAGCAAAGCAAGGAAATTACTTGATTGGCCAAAGCTGAAGTATTTTCCTTATTTGGAAAAGCCTAGCTGGCTGTAATTGGTTGTCCTTAGGTTTCGATTTCTTAACCTTGAGGCATTTATAACCTTTTGGTTTGCTTAGTAGCAAGGTAATACTAAAGTTTTAGAACCACCTCAGTCTAACGGCCTCCTTGTTTAGCTAATTGAACATAAAGAGACACACCCATAGGAAATCAGACAACCCCAAGTCTGCTAGACAATGCCTCAAACTACAGTTAAAAGGACACTTAGTAACACCAGTAATACCTTTTGCCTAATTTTGTTTTGGATAATTTTTCTTAACAGTGCTCACCTCTTAGAACAAGTAGATCTCTGTTGGCGATGTGGCCACCAAGATTATTGTTGGTTGTCACAACTGAGGGTTTCTACTGGCATCAGGTGATGTTTCACACATCAAGTGAATCTGGAATCAAAGGATTTGGGATTTAGTCCTTTTACTATCAGTTACAAGTTCTGTAACATTGGCAAATATTTCGTATTTTCATACTTCAATTATCTATACAATGGAGGCTAAAAAAATATGTCTCACTAACTTTCTTGATTCTTAGCCCAGGAGAAAGTGAACTTTGGGTTGAAGGAGGAGGGAGATGGTCTGAAGAACACTGTCTATACCTTCCTAGGGTGTTGTGATTTATAATAAAATAAATTTTGTTCCTGGCTTACTGCACCAAAACCCTTGG